TGGTGCGTGGGAGGCGGGGGGGCGTAGGTGGGCGCCCTCCGCTCCGGCTCTGGACGGACAGCTACGAGAAGATGTGGATGGCTTGGGTGGCCGGGGTGTGGCAGGCAGGACACTCCGGCTCGGCCTTGCCACAGATGCGGATGGCACACTCCATACAGAAGAGGTTGTGGCCGCAGGGCACCAAGGCGGCAATGACCTCGCTCTCGAAGCACACCATGCACTCCCGGGAGCTCTTGCGGGGCCCGTCAGAACTGCTGGAATCCGTGGGGGAGCCCGAGGTGGCCGAGATGCTGCCCGGCAGGGACGAGGAGGAGGAGTAGCCTGTACTGTTGGAGAAGGACGAGAGCGAGCCCTGGGTGGGCAGCCAGGACAAGGTGCTGACCGGGTCGCTCTGGATGCGGCGTGCTAAGGGGTGGTCCAGGGCGACGCTGCTCTCGGGGAGGGTCGGAGAGTGCCGGGGGGTGGCCGTCCCACTGATGCTGCTGTTGCGTCGCTGGGAGCCGTTGACGGAGGAGCAGCTGCTGAAGGCCTGCAGGGGGTTGGAGCGCTCAAAGGGAGACCAGATGGTGGTCGGCGTGGTGAGGTCGAGGGCCAGGAAGTCGAAGCCAAAGTCACACTCCTCTGAGCCGAGCGGTGCCTGGGGGTCGCCGAAGGTGAAGCCGCTGCTGGTGCTGTAGGGGCTGGTGGGGCTGGTGTCCGCCACCCGCCCGCTGTAGTATGACTCAGTGGAGGTGCTGCCCAAGGAGCTGAGGCTGTCGTTGCGCAGGCCGGCTGAGGGCCTGCGGGCCGGGTTGGGTGCCTTGGCCCACAGACTGGCCGTGTTGCCCAGCAGGTCGAGGCAAACGTCGGTGCCGTTGGAGTGGAAGTCGTTGTCGGCATTCACATCAATGAAGGATCCTGTCCTCATGGTGATGTGGGCTTCGATCTCCTCCCGGGCCCGGTCCACATTTTCAGGCATCCCCGTGACCTCGAAGACAGGCTCTTTGTCTCGGCTGGGCGTGACGATGTACGTGTGCGTCTGCTGCTGGATCCTCTTGATGGTGGCCCCTTTGGGTCCCACCACCAGGCCTACCACACGGTAGGGGACCCGCACCTGAATGGTGGTCTGTCCCGGAAGGTTGGGAGGGCCCTGCATGGCTCCCGTCAAGCCGTTGACCTTGTTGCGTGTCGCCCGGATCATGGAGAAATGTTCAGCTGCTGAGAGGATCTCCCTCTTGGCCATCTCCACGTCCTCCTTCCTCCCGGTGACAATGAAGACGGGCTCCTCTCCTCTGACTGGTGTTTTGATGTAGGTGTTGGTTTTGGCACGCAGAGCTTTGATCTTGCAACCTGCATCACAAAGAGAAAACAAAAGCAACACATGGTAAGTGCCACATTAAAGGTGGGGACCAGTTGCACCCTGCTTCCCACTTGGCCGGGGCAGGAGAGAGGTGTGGGGGGAGAGGAACAGGAAATCAGCAGGCCTCAGGTGTGTGGAGAAGCAATCACTCCAAGTGACTGCACACGCAGCCCTTGGAGACACCTGCAGCTTTGCAGACAGAAGCTCACAGATGAATTCCGGTGAACTGGAGGAGGTGGTTCACAATCAGGGCAGACCCTGGGCAGGTGCACTGGTGCAGCTGTCCCCTCCTTTGATTCCTGCTCTACCCAAAGTTTAAACCAAACTGCCAGGCAGGGGCAGCTCCCTCTATCGGACAGCAGTGAGACTCAGTTCACTTCAAGGCTCATTATAATCTGCTTGATTCCTTCTAAACTCTTCATTCCACAGGTGTTAACAACCCTCTCCTTGTAATGGCCTTAATGTTCCACTAATTAAGCTATTCTTTCTTTTGCAATTCTGTATCTGCTAGCACGTTCCAATAAAGGTATATTTATGTTTGTTTGAATCTTAAACTGAATACTATAGCCCTAGGCCCCTAACATACTAGCATAGCTTCTCCTGAACCCAAAAGCTTGCTTAAAAATTGTTTTCCAACTACTTGAGTTGGTCTAATAAAAGATATCAGATTCACCCAAAAAGAACCTTGTTTGCCTAGTATAGCTTCTGGTTTCTTTTTTACCAGGAGAAAAATGATTTGCGTTATACATGAAGATGCATGACACCATTTGCACCCCCCTTTTCAAAATCCTAGATCCACCTATGTTCACAATACACAGGCCTACCAGGGTGTGCTAGGCTCTTCACCATCCTCTTCTCTACGGCAGGGATCAGAAGCAGGGGGCAGAGTCTCATTAAACCAACACAGCACAGAGATAACGTCTACCCCCAGTGCTCACTGCTAAAAACCCTCACCACAAAGCAGCAGGTGAACAAACAAGGAAGATGGAGCAGGATGGAGCTTGGGCCAAGCAGACATGGGTGTGACTGCTCTGGTTGGTAGCCAAAGCAGTCAAAGAGGGTGCCTTCCACGGAGATGGATGGGAAAGGTCTGGCTGTGCATGGAGGCAGTGGAGTCACTGTTTCTTGGTGTCTGGAGCCGGAGATACCAGTGCTGCCGCTGAGCCAGAAGCAAACCCAGAGCAGGAGCAGCCTCCACGCCAGTGGCACAGAGCTGCAATGACCTCAACTGCAGGGCGCTCCAGCGAGGAGAGCCCAGCGGTTTCTGGTTGCTTTGGCAGCGACACTCAGCCCCCAGCCCACAATGGCTTTTCATTTTATTCCGTGTGCCGCTTTGAGGAGCATGTTTGGGGGGAAGGAGAGAGGGGGGTTGTTCCTGGTTTGGTTTGTTTTTCAAAACCGCTTGCATGGCGCTTGCCTCGTTACCATAATAATGCAGCACCTGCCCTCGCTGCCTCCGTTCAGCATCCTGCTGGACTGTGCAAACATTAACTAACACTGTGGCTTCTGCTGGTGACCTGCACGGCGTTTGCTAGTTCACCCAGGGTGCGGAGGGAGCTGTGGCTCGTTGCTTAACACCGACTGCTCTTGCTTGTACACGTGACAAGGGTTTAGTTCCCCCAAAATGAAACAGTGGGGTTTAATTGGTTTCAATTTAGGGGCTTCCATCGCTGTTACAGCAAGGGGCTGGATCCAAAAAAAAAAAAAAAGGCATGCGTCACACCAACCCTTTTTTTTCGGACTTGGCTTTTACTCCCAGGTCTGCTGCTCGTTTGCAGTATGATGCCAGACACATCACTGATTTACCTTCTGTGCCTCGGTTTCCTCTCTCTCACTGTCTATTCTGGCTTTGTGCATGGAGCTTTTCAGGCCTGAGGCCGTTTCTCACTACAAGCCTGTACAGCACCTGGCACCAGAGCCCTGCTCACACTGGGGCCTCTAGGTGCTAGTGCGGAGATGCATTGTATTGCAAGGCTGATCAAGCCCTGCCCATGGGCTGCATTTGCCATCTCTGCCTCCAGCTCTGCCTCAGTTATTGTATCCGCTCCCCACCGCTCAAATTTGGCAGCAAACAGTGAGGGAGTCTGCCTGGGAGCTGCCGCAAGAGGAGACGGAGAGCTCGGCAGCGGCACGGCCTCGAGGAGGCAATTCTGCAGACCAGAAATTTTGGGTGTCTGACTTGTGGGGCCGGTGGCAAAGCTGTGCTTGCTTTTGGAGCGACTGCTTGACAGGGTTGGTGCTACAGCTATGGCCCAGCTCACTTCAAGCGGGGCTGGTACAGCTAATTAAGGGGCAGCGCCAGGCAGGCCCAGATCAGGCAATCTGTTAAAAGGCAGCCCCTTGCAAACTGTGAGAGCGGTGAATGAAGAGGGAGCTCACCTAGGAGCTCATTGCAGGAGGGAGCAGGAGAGCGAACTAGGCTTCCACCACTTCTTTGCTTTGTTTGCTACAGCCGAGGGGTCACCCAGGGAGCGCAGGAGGCATAACTGGAGACTGGATCAGCAGCTCTGACTTGTGTGGGACGTGCCATACTCATGTGAATCCCAGAGGGTCAGGACCACTTCATCCGCACCAACTGTGAACTGGTGTCCGTCTTGGAAGAACCGAATGAAGGGCTACAGGTAAAATGCTGCCAGGGAAAATGAAGGCTTCCTGAATAGGAGTCACAAGAAGCTGGCACTGGAGCGTCCAAGGGGAAAGAAGAGAAGTGGCAACATGCGACTACTAGAAGGAGGGTGCCCCAAATTCGAGGGGAACAGACTGAAGTCAGCAACCATGTTCAAGCACCCTGCACAGCTGGGGAAAAGGCAGAGGCGAGGACATCAGCAGACAAGACCCAGAAGACCCGGCAGACTCGAGAGCAAGAAGAAAACCCCCAGGGATGGAGGCTCCTTTCTGCAGGGGACAGAAGCACCAATTTGCCATCCCGATTAGAAGGTGTGCTGTCTGCATTCGTGATATCACAGAAGGGGTGCCAGAGTTTATCCACCCCTCGGACCACTACCCTTCCCAGCTTGTCCACATAGGCACGAATGATACAGCCAGGAATGACACTACAAGGATTTTGGCAGGAGGATTAAGGGCTTGAAGTACGTCCTCTCTCACCGATCCTCCCAGTCGAAGGTAAGGCCCCTAACAGGGACCATCATACCATGCAAGGAAACGTGTAGCTGAGATGGCAGTGTAGACATGAAGGCTTTGAATTCTTCAACAATGGGCAGATGTTCTGGGGAGGTGGACTGCTATCAAGAGACAGGAGCCATCAAACCAGACCTTGAAAGAGTATCTTTGGGTGTCATTTGGCCAGCCTTGTAGGAAGGCTTTAAACTAGGTTTCATGAAGGATGGGAAACCAAACCCTCCCCATGGGAACAAACAATCTAAAGGAAAAAGGACCAGAAGAAGCATCTCAACTGTGGGAAAAGGCCAGGAAAGGGACACGGGGAAGCAACACGTGATGCAAAAGTGAAATAAGTAAGTCAGAATGCAAAATATGTCCGATACATGGATACATATACAAGCAGCACAGGGCACAAACAACAGCCTGAGAAAAGTACTGTGAATTTATTGGTACCACAGGAACTTGGTAGCACAGCTCTTACGACTGCTGCTGTTGCCTTGCATGTCAAAAAAATACAGACTTGATCCCTGGTTCAGGAGGAAGACGGTAAATTAGAATGCATTTGGGGGAAGATACAGTGCAAATATATCAGTGGAGATTTATTACAGACCACCAAGTCAGGAAGAGGAGGTGGAAGAGGCTCCTCAAGGAAGTAACAAAATTATCTAAAACGTCATGAGATGGTACTGATGGGACACTTCAATTTTATGGACACCTGCTGGAAGAACAATACTTTCCAACATAAAAATGTGGAGGAGGCTACCTTATGTGGAGGATACACCTCGGGAATCATCAATTTTGGATCTTGTAGTCACCAATAGGGAAGAACTGATGGAGAACATGAAGGTGGTGAGCAACTGGGAGGTAGCTATCACAGTATAAGAGAATTTATGATCCTGAAACTAGGAAGGCATGAGAGGTCAGTCGAAATAAGATGCTGGATTTCACAAAGGTGGATTTCAACCAACTCAAGAGGATAGTAGGCATGGTGCCATGGGAGGCACTGAAGGATAAAGGTGCCCAGGACAGCTGGAAGCTTCTAAAAGGTATGGTATTGGAAGCCCACCAAGAAACAATGGTGCCGATGCAATGGGAGCAAAAGAACGGCAAAAGACCAATGTGGCTGCACAAGGAGTTTCTAGGATGCCTCAAATGCAAAGAGGAAAGCAAACAGGCAATGGAAAGACGAGCAGGTCAGAAAGGAAGCACACCAGGAAATAGCAAGAACCTGCATAGATTTAAAAAAAGAAAAAAAAAAAAAATCAGGAAGGGAAAGTTTAAAAAAAAAAAAAATGCTTCACCTAGCAAGGCAAGTCGATCTCCGTCTCCGACAAGGCAAGTAGGCAGGTGGATGAAGGTAATGCTGTGGCTGTAGTGTATCTGCACTTCAGCAAAGCTTTTAACAAGTCCCACATGACCTTCTCTTAAACAAACTGGAGAAACGAGGGCTAGACAAAACTACTACACAGTGGACAGACAACTGGCTCAATAGCTGCAAGCTAATTTTAAATACATCCAAGTTGGACTGGCAAAAGGTTTTGAGTGGAGTCCCACAAGGGTCTGTCCTGGGCCCGGTGCTGTTCAATGTGCTTACGGATTTGGATGCTGGACTAGAGAGCTTCTTGAGCAAATCTGCAGACAACGTGAAACTGGGAAGGACTGCAAACACGCTGAAGGACAGGAGCACGGTTCAGAAGGATCCTGACCGACTGGAAAGCTGGGCTGGAGCCAACAGGATGAAGTTCAATGCTGACAAACGCAAGGCGTCGCACTTTGAGAAGAATAAGCAAGAACACAAATACAAAATGAGTGACACCTGGCTTGGATGGCAGCATTTTAGAAAAGGATCTAGGAGTCTTGGTGCATCCCA